GGGGGTGGAACTGGATGATCTTAAGGCCTTTCCAACCCAAACCACCCTATGATTCTATGATGAACTATTTTTCCTTTCAGAAAGTATGGTCTTTCTGGTCCAGAAGATTCCTACTTCACTAAACAAATCTGCAATACACTTAAAGTCCATGGCTTCTATTTTAAATCTGAGAAAGGCCATACAGATCCGAACACCATGTCCCATACTATGCCAGTTAGTCTAATAAAAAGTATTACCACTACCCACAAATCTTGCCCTACCAAGAGACTTTAAAAATATCAGAATATGAAGAAGAAAACAGAACACATCACTATACACTGTACAAATAAGTAGTTTTGGCTTTATCAGCTCCAAAAGAAAGCAAACTGAAGCAAAGAGCTCAGCTGGTGATACTGCAGAGGATTCTTTTTTAAGATTAAAAGTAAGAGCACACACCACCAAGAGCATCCTTCAAAAGGAAAGTCAACTCAATTTTCTTGCACTCATAACTCAAATATGCAAACTGGAACACAAACTGCTTTTGAAATACATTAAAAAAAAAAACAAACCCACAAAAAAAAAACACCACACAAGGCTCTTTAAAAAGAAAATGAGGATTTTCAAAGGAACAGCACTTACACCGTCATGGTGTGCATGTTAATGTGCAAACACACAAATATTGGCAGAAGAATAGAGGTCTCAGAGATGCCGAGTTCTTATGAGCCTCCTGTAAAGAGACAGATAGAGGAAATAAATCTATTGCAGCTTCCACTAAGAAAAAGTCTCCAGGGGGAGCCCCACTGTATTGCTGGGTACTAAAGAGTCCACACGGGGCTTTGGTGTCTAACGAGCTGTAAACAAGAAAAGGCTTCATTAGTTCTGCTCCTTACAGAACTACTAGATGTGCTTTTTAATGCATTATTAATACATTGAACTCATTGCCAAAAGATGGAAGCAGAGGACTTAATTCCAAAAAAATGAATTCGTGGAGAAAGCTTGCAACCTTTAGGTTTGAGAAGCTAAGGGATACAAATTAAAGCCTAATTTTTAGGACAGTAAGATAATTACAGGAGGTAAAGAAACAACCTTCCGTATGGACATGTTGTTCCACAGCACATGGTACCAACACCAGAAGACAAAGAATTTTGCAATACTCAAACTCTAATCCCAGAATTACACTGCAAAAAGTAACTTGCGTATCTCTCAGTAATCCTCTGACATGATCTGAACCTACACCTGCTCACGCAAGCCCTCTCCCGTAAGGAGATGTAGGATTCAAGTGTGACTGGCAAGCTTTAAGACCTCATCACTGAACTAGGGCTCATTTTCCACCCAGGATTTGTAAGAACTCAAATTTTAAAAATTGTGATAAATTGAAGCTATCACATATTAGGTCACTGATGTATCTTCATTCTGCCCATAAACTCCTTTTCTCTTTCTAGTCCTTGTTAACATTTGGAGTCTGGGTTGTACCCTATCTAGTTATTAGGGTTTTTTTCATAGTGTTTAGTTCTGGAGAGGCCACAGCTTTTAAGATTAAATTTTCTATTTTAACTAGTTCGTGCCTAAGCTTGCGCAACCAATGCAACGTACTCAGGCAACCCCCATCAAGTCACTCACTGAGCACTTGGGGTTTCAGATTGTGTGTGGACCATGAGAAGCTGGATCCTCAGATAAACCCAACACGCTCATGCTTTCTGCTGCTCGAGAGGCACTGGCTTCAAGCACAGTTTGATGGATGCTCTGGCTTCATTCACACTGGTATGACTCAAGTTCTCTTTAGATGAACCCAGATTTACCGCATGGAATAATATGACAATGAAGCACGGAAGTGAAGTCTGAAAGTTTTAATTACCATGTTTTATCCCACCTAAAAATAAAGGCTGTAGGTGTTGGAAGAGATCTCCTCCCAAAGGAAAGTATTAGAATAATGAAGAATTTCATTACTTTTTGCTCTTCTGTTTTCTTTCTCTGATGAGTTCCTGATCATCTCCCTCATTGCTTCTATATAACTGCACATTGTGGTAGATGAGTTTTTAAAGCAGGATTACCACTTTGGAAACTGTGATCTTAGCTAGCATTTTCTAGCCCATTTCCCCCCCAAAAAGATCACTTCTACATTGTGTTCGAGACAGACAAGTCACCAATAAGACTGAGCCATTCAGGAACAACTTAGCATAATATAAACTGCTCCACCCCTACCATATTACTTTTACTGGTGAAGCAGGAAATGGTTTCTCATTCTACTAACTTCATTTTGCAAACACAATAAAAAGATTGCTCTCAAAATAATGGAATGCAAAAAAGTCCAAGCAAGACCAAGTCCAAATCCCAGAAAACAAGAAAGGTGTTTTTCCTATGTAACATGCATTAAATGCTCAGTATTTACATTCCAGATCCAAGAGCATTCCACTTCTCCCCCTCACTTGGAATATTTGAAATAAAATACAGCAAACAAACAAAAACCAAAGCCAGCTTGCACATATTTTTATTTCTGGATAAATACTAAGAATTCAATGAGAAATCTGGAACAGTAAGTAGGTATTGCCCTTGGCTGAACATTTCTATTTGTTTTGAGTTAATTCATGGGGAGGTCAAACCAATGGAAAATTAGATTTACACTGGAGGAGCAACACTCCTTGCATAATGTGTATGAGTTGCAAATCAAGTGATAATGTTCAGAGCTGCCACACAGAGTCAGGAAAGTTTCACACAATGTTTGGGAAAAAAACAGAAATAGTCCAATCTCTGGCAGAGCCACCATATGGAGTTTACTGCAGTAACATACGTTTTGGCCACTCAGCATAGCTCTGCTGCCAACAATGATAGACTGAACTACGTCTTTACAAGATACATCCCTATACCCAAACAGTAAATCCTAGCTAGAGAGGCTCAGACAGTTCAACTCAATCTTTATAGTAATAAAAGGAACAAAAGAAAAACCTCACACTTCAACACACACTTCAGCATCAACAATGGTAAAAAAAAAAAAAAAAAAAAGATGCAATAAAAGTATAAACTCCTAGCAAGTGGCATGGAATGCAAAATGACACTCAAGCCTTTTAGACAGTGATGGGTTTATCTGTACCAAATCTCTTGCTACATTATGAGCCATGGAGTCATTGTGGTCAGAAAGACAAATAGGCAGATAACTGGGAGATCCTTCAACCTCCTTTAGACCCACAAATTATTGTATGCCTAATTTATTGCAGTATAAATAGAATGTGTGAAAGCAGAGGCAAGTCAATCTCAAAATGAAGGCTCTTAACTTTAGTGATAAGACAAGGGGTAAAATGGGTTCAAATTTACAGGAGATTTAGGTTAGATATCAGGAAGTTCTTCCCTGTGAGAGTGGTGAGGCACTGGAACAGGTTGTCCAGAGAAGCTGTGGCTGCCCAGTCCCTGACCTTGTTCAAGGCCAGATTGGACAGGGCTCAGAGCAACCCGGTCTAGTGTGAGGTATCCCTGTCTATGGCAGGGGGGTGGAAAGGGATTATCTTAAGGTCCTTTCCAACCCAAACCATTCCATGATTCTATGACTGCCATGCCCCTGGCACAAATGTTAGCTACCCCACACTCCTTGCCACATCAGAACACACAAACAGTTGCAGGTGAACAGCTATCTACAGTAAGGATGTAACTTTGCTTGCCTCATTGAATCAAGTCCTCACAGGTTATGCCAATCTAAAGCCAGGTGAGAGCTGATGGATCTAGCTGCTGTAGTTCACCAGACTGCCCTCACTGCCCATTTAGCTGAAGTATCTCAGTGACATTTTTTAACTTAAAGTTCTTTGAAAGGAGATGTCAGGCTGTAGCTGCTTACACTTTCATTGTAAATCCAGCCCCCGTTGCTTACTGCATGTTTCAAAACACAGATACCTCTGAAATCCAGTCCTATAGACCAAATGCAAAACATTACAGTCAGTGCACAGACTTGACAGTGACTACATTTTGGATCAGACTCTATGGCCATGTTCATTTACCCTCCTTGTATTTTCTTCTCTCAAATTATTTGCCTTTCAGTTGAACTGAAGACTGTCAAATTGTACCTCAAGCTATCAGTTCAGCACCTTAAAGAGCTTAAGTGTTCAGACCAGAAGAGAATGGCAAAACCAGCAGAATAAAATGCATTAGAAAGGCCATCAATTTGCTGAGCCCACTATTGACTTTCCCTGAGTCTAAGATTAAATTTGGAAGGCTTAATTGATTTCTCCATCTGTCATTCTTACCTAAACTTCTTATTTAAGAATAATGGCTAAATCAACAGGATTTTACTTGCAAAGAAAGAATCAACACTGGTAGATTATTCTTATGAGTACATGCACTTGTTTGTGTATGTAACACCTACAATCTGGAGTGCACTGCCAAAGACATAGTACCACTAATCAGGAGCAGCAATGCACAAGACTGCTATCAGTCAAGGCTCCAGTGTGGATTATTTCAGGCAGCCACAGGGCTTTTGTTTCCTTTGGCTTCTTACACCCATCAATGGTTTGTAGAGCACAGGAGCTGCTATCTGGAACAACAGCTACTATCACAAACACACTTTAATTCCAAAAGGTGCTTTTAAGGCCTCATGGTATTTAAGAGAGAAAAGAAACAAAGAGCATCTGTTACTGCAACCTAATAATGATTAGGTTATCTATACACAAAGACCAAAACCTAAACCATTGTACATAATTACATCCCCAAAACATAATTTACAGTGCCATCTTTCTTATAGTTTGTTTTGGGTATTTGGGGGGTGTAGAGGTAAACATTAAATATATGACTCTTAGTGCAAAATAGGAATTTGGGCTTTATTAACATTTTGTAGACAAACCAAGACAAACCATTCTGGATGTAAAAATCTTAGTATCAAATTTTTCACAAAATACAGAAAGGAGCTGAAGTACACATTTAACATAAATACACGGAATGCTTAAGTTATTTGTATGCTGATGCAACTCTCCACAGGAAGAAAAAAAGAAAAACAAACAAACAAAAAACCCCATTAATAGAAGTCATTGAGCATTCCTTACCTTGGAACCTGCCAACATAGTTCCCAGCATTTTTGTTCCTTTTCCGATACCAATCACTGCAAAGACAGAAGAAGAAATGCCGCTTCAAACCCAGCTCTGCAGTTCCCTTATTGCACACCATCCACTACTAAATATTATGCTATTCAGAAATATAGCCTTTCACGGTCTCTTAGCATAGAAAGGGAGTCACAGAATCATAGAATCGTTTGGGTTGGAAAGGACCTTAAGATCATCAGTTCCAACCCCCCTGCCATGCGCAGGGACACCTCACACTAAACCATGTCACCAAAGGTTCTGCCCAACCTGGCTTTGAACACTGCCAGGGATGGAGCATTCACCACTTCTTTGGGCAACCTGTGCCAGTACCTCACCACCCTCACAGTAAAAAACTTCTTCCCTATACCTAACATGAGCTTCCCCTGTTTCAGTTTAAACCCATTACCCCTTGTCCTGTCACTACAGTCCCAGATGAAGATTTCCTCTCCAGCGTCCCTGTAGGCCCCCCTTCAGATACAGGAAGGCTGCACTCAACAGAAAGCATCCCTGATGGTCAAACATGGGAGTAGTGAGAGGAAAAGTCTAAAGCAGAAGATAAATAAGCTTCACCTATTCTTAAAATGCTTTAATTAAACCCATTTATTTATCTTTTAATCACCAAAGAAATGGATAGTGCAATTAACATCATCTTGGTTTGATGAAGGCTGTGGCTCACTAATAATTAATCCAGCCTTCACAGTAACTAAATGGCCCATTTAAAGGTTGATAGTGACCAAGAGTAATACAGCAAGACAGCGTAATGAAATTGTTTATCAGGCTTAGAGCAAGAAAATAAAATAATCAAAAGGTCCAACTGCCTCTCAAAAATCTTTCATAATCAAACCTTCCCATTTCTGCATATACAGACCACTGTCTTTTCAATCTTAAACCAGTACTCTGCAAAACAGCAGTCAACTCTTCATAAAAAAAAACACAGTAAAAGAGCTCTATCTTATATTTTACCTTAAAGCTGTTTACAAGGTGCTTTCCCTGAATCTGCTTTCCTATCGATTTTCTCCACATACAGCAAACCAAAGAAACAATGAAAATTTTAAAAGGAAAGCAGGTTTGTGTACAACTCATGAAATACATAACTGCTTATGCCCTTGGTTTTAATAAAATTACAGGAGTTAAGGGAGCTTGCAGGAAATCACCTCTATGTTAAGATGGAGCCAGTACCAGAAACATTAAGCTGACAATGAATCTGTCTTTAAAAACAAAACAAATATTTGTGCTCTAATGCTTCTCAATCTTTACACTCTGAGACTCATTAGATGACTTCTCATTCTTGATTACTTCTCATCTTGCTCCTGAGGGTATTTAGTCACACATGCCCTTGTGCTCATGAACCTTCAGTTCAGCCTGTTCCTGCCATTTGCAAGACAGGAAAGAGCTGCAACAAGGCGGAGAAAAGGAGATAGCATACAGATAAAACTTTATAACCACTGTTCCTGCAACGTGATGAAATCACTGACACTGCTACATAACTGCTGAGCTGAAATTTGCTAAGGGGTGTCAAGAGATTCAATAGAATCATTTTAAAGAGACACTGAATGCTTTTGTGAGCAAGTCACTAACAATTTTCCCCATTAATCATCAGCTTGTGTAACATGTATTATTGAAAGGTGGCATAAACGAAACTTGCCAGACTACACAGAGCCTAACAAAGTTTAACTGAATTTTTAGTTTTGGTACTTCTTCATCTTTTCTTCTCCTATGGAAGCACAATTCTTAACTGCCCTACAGAAACAAGCTAAATATTTACAATTCCCACTGTACAATATGAAAAACTGGAACCCCAACCATGGACTAACGTAAGATATTCATTAAGACTTGACCTACAGTTCCTTGCTTCTTATATCTTAAAATGTGAGACATAATGTTGAGAAGTAGAAGTTGAATCCTAGCTCTCACCACCTTCCAAATGCAACAGAAGCCACAGATGGGGAGAGACAAAAGATTATCCCTCAGTCAGCAGTCGCTTCAGGCTCCTACCAGTGTGAGGCCACCAATACCACCTGGTCTCTATGCTGCCTTTCACTCACATGCCATTCATCACCAACCTCTGTCTTCAAGGTCCTTCCTCATTTGAACTTGCTGTCAGTAAAAAAATATGAAATTCTATTTTCAGATGAAAAGCACAGCTCAGTTATTTGCAGTGCATTTGGCACGCTAAGCAAGACTCTCTATTGACTAATTCACTAGCTCCCATGAACAAAGTTATAGATATGCAGTACATAAAATCTGGGAAACAGCCACTTCAGATCAAGAAAGGTTAGAGGTTTCAGAAAATAAATACTATTGTACAACTGACCAAGAGGAAAGAAAACTTTCTGCCTCACCACCCTATCCATCCCTATCTGAGTAACTTGCTTCTGCTGTGTTCTCCACTCTCCTCAATATCTTACCCAAACCCACAAGAAATTTGGGCACATTCCCATTCCTCTACAGTTTTGTCCTTTCCAATCTAGCTACCACTGATTTTCCTGTGTGTGTTTTGTATGGCATCGGAATGATCACTCCATAGCATATTAAGGTGATGCACTTCTGTCTTTACCAAGCACATCAAGCCCAAGTACTTTTTGTCATGCCACAGGAGCGGGCTTTGGAGACTGCTGGATATCAGAGAGCAGTAGGAGAAGCAATTAAGAGGCATGAGTGATTTTTCTTTTCCTCTGGATCAATGCTGTTGACTTCCCACAATGAGCAGTAACATGCTCAAAGGGAACATCTGTGTAGAAGAAAAATGTCCGCTTCAGCAGTACACAGGGTAATCTCCAGTGAGCAGCTACACATTACAGGAAATTAAAACAAAATGAGATAGCAGGTACTTCTAGCCTAAGAATGTTACATTTTGCAATGTTCATAGGTGACAGAGAAAAACAATTACCAGCCTATAGGCCTCTACTAACACCCTTCATGAAAACAACCTCCCCTTGAAGCACAGCTCTTCCTGAACAATCAAAAAGTGGATTTACTTTCAGTATATGCTCACAGTTGTACCTGTTGCCTTTCAATACCAAAAAAAGTATTTCTGTTATTTCTTCTAGCTAAGTAGAGGTACAAGGTTATAAGTTAAGCAAGGTGTAGTCTGCATGTTACTTAGAACTGTTGGTGACAATATGTGATATGGGAATCATCCAGACCAATGGTCACAGCCACAGCCAGGTTTTCAACACCAGCAATTGGCACATCCTGTTCCTTAGTAAAACAAAGGAATGTGATAAACAGATTGATTGGTATCAAAATTAAAAGATGAAATCTCTCTGATGACCCTTCTTTATGAAGCGAGACAGGACAGGAAGCAAAAAAAGTCCTTCTGTGCTGAGCCTTAAAAAAGCAGCAGCTGAATTGCTCTTATACATCTTTCATTTGGTGACTATTACAACTCAAAAGGCTCCCTCAAAATCCCAGAAAAGCCTTAGTTTAAGAACAAATACTTTAGGAAATTATGCTATTAATCCCCAGCTTAAGTAAAAAAAAAAACCCATCAATTTCTGAGGTAATTTAGAATTCATTACACAAGAATCTTTATGTTCATGTAATAACTCACAGGTTATTTCAGGAGTTGGGGGTAGAGAACATAGCCTTCTGTTAAAAAAAAAAAAACAAACATGTAAAAGTATATGCAGAAGAAATTTAACCCAGACCACAATCACCTGCCCTTCCTCCAACACCAGAAAGCTTGCCATGCTTATCTCAAATTGTTCCTCCACCTCTGATTTCATGTAGGGATGAAAACGTTCCCCAAAGTCACTCTCTGATGACTGCATTTATATTTTACATTACCCAGAACTCCTTCAGCTGCACTGTCCAAAGTTCCACCATGTCCAATTTTCAAAACCTGATTTCTTTTGCTCCTATTTGCTCGCACGCCAGCTTCTGCAAACAGAAATTGAAAGGAAACATTATAGAATAACCTTACAACACAGGAAAAATTGCACATATTTCCAGTTTGCTAAAGAAGATAAATATCAATTACTTAAACTATGAATTAGTAGTGCAGAAATTGCTGTCCTGAATAAGACCAGTGATTCATCTAGATCTACTCTCAAACTCAAACAATTTGCAAGCTATATTCACCTAGATTCTAATCAAGCCTTATGTACTGTTATAAACAGATGTTCAGAAAATGCCACTACAAAACCTGGTAGAGAGTTCACCTGCGAAGTTTCACTAACAAAGCACGCAAGAACTAGCAGCAGAGCTCCTGAAATCATCTCATATATACAAAATGAATGCTACCTAATCTGAGCAATACCTACTGTTTTACTTTCATGTAATGGGTCATGTATGAAGATAAGCTGAGAAAGTTGGGGCTGTTCAGCCTGGAGAAGAGAAGGCTGCAGGGAGACCTCAGAGCAGCCTTCCAGTATCTGAAGGGGGGCTATAGGGATGCTGGGGAGGGACTCTTCATTAGCGACTGTAGTGACAGGACAAGGGGTAATGGGTTAAAACTTAAACAGAGGAAGTTTAGATTGGATGTAAGGAGGAAATTCTTTCCTGTGAGGGCGGTGAGGCACTGGAATGGGTTGCCCAGGGAGGTTCTGAATGCTCCATCCCTGGTAGTGTTCAAGACCAGGTTGGACGAGGCCTTGGGTGATATGGTTTAGTGTGAGGTGTCCCTGCCCATGGCAGGGGGGTTGGAACTAGATGATCTTAAGGTCCTTTCCAACCCTAACCATTCTATGATTCTATGAATAAGCACTTACCAATATGAAAGTTGGTTCTCACTTCATCAGCAAGTGCCCAAAAGTCCAGATTAGATTATCAAATCCACATACTTTATAAAGAGAATCTAGGTCATAGTCCCTCAAACTTTACAATGATAACACTTTTTTCCCCCCAGTAACTGACAGCTGGGGTTACCTGTATTCACAAAAAGCAGTTTCTGCAGTGTCCTCTGGACTTTCAAACTCCTCAACACAAGGTGGTTTTCACTCTTTTGGTGGTATTTATTGTATTTTTAAATGGCAATAAGCAGTGGGACTGAAGCAGCACATCCTGCCAGTGCTGTGCTGAGCTGCTGACAGCCATTCTGGCAGATGGGTGCACGCTGTCCCGGGGAGTAAGCCCAACAGCTCTCCAACCAACCTGGGACCCCCTCTGCTGTCCACCGCAGGACTGGAGCTTTCTGCTAGTGCAAATCTTACCCTATACGAATTGAAGGCTCACATCACGCTGTACCACAGGCAATACCACATGCCTGCCCCAAGTAAGGAAGTGGTGAATACGGCTTTACAACAATCGTGCTGTGTAACCAACACACTGAGTCTCGCGGGCAACCAGCAGCTGCATGCAGTGAGCCAGAACGTACCCAGGAATGGCTCCGTCCCCCAGTCCGACCCGTACCACGGCTCACAAAGGGGGTGCAGTGCCTTGACAGGGGCTGTGGTTGTGGTCGGGACCCCCAGCCAAAGCGCTCGAGGACTAAACGCATGTTCACTGCAGGCCACCCTGCTGCTGCCCGGGAACTACGAGCACCTCTCTGTTACGACTCCCTCACCAACACCCCACCTCGCGTCTCCATGCCCACCTCGGGGAGTGTGTGCTGCACCTCGCCTCCCCCGGCCCGCGCCCGGCGCCTACCTGCCAGCAGCTTCTCCTTCAGGAGGTTGAGCACGCCGGCCGAGGTGGGCCCCTTGGGCTTGTACACGGCGAACAGCCCGCTGAGGGAGAAAAGCTTCTCGGCCGCTTTGCCGAGCACCACGCCGCCACCCTCCCTCGCAGCCATGCTCCCTCCCGGCAGGCCCGGACACCAGCCCGCCACAACCGCCCGCCTTCCTCCCCGCCCGGGGACCGCTGGGAAATGTAGTCCGGCTGCGGGCCGGCTGAGAGGAGAGCCCGAGAGGAGAGGCGGGTACCCCAGCACAACCTACCTATGCCATATCCCCCCTCCTGCTGGGAGTATTACAGTATCACAGTATGGTAGAGATTGGAAGGGACCTCGAAAGATCATCTAGTCCAATCCCCCTGCCGGAGCAGGAACACCTAGATAATGTTACACAGGAATGTGTCCAGGCGGGTTTTGAATGTCTCCAGGGAAGGAGACTCCACAACCTCCCTGGGCAGCCTGTTCCAGTGTTCCGTCACCCTCACTGAGAAGAAGTTTTTTCTCAAGTTTAAGTGGAACCTCTTGTGTTCCAGTTTGTACCCATGTATTGTAGGCATTTAAGCAAGCTGTGCTTGAGCAAGGCACCGAGAGCTTGGATGTTTTGTTCATAAATTTCGTTTATTTATTTGTAAGAGCCTGTAGATGAAACCGTGAAGAGATAGAGAGTTACAGGGAGATAAATGCACGGCTAGCAAAGGGCTATGTACATCCCTAGTTCCCCCCAGAGCTTGAGAGAAGCAAATCTTCCTGCTCAAGTCGATGCTGTCTCTGTACAGCGCAGGTTCAAGGTCTCTGTGCGGTTTTTCAGCCTGTACTGAAGAAAGTGGCTTGCTCAGTGCCTGCTCGCACCTTCCACGGCAGCTGCATGGGCTCAGCGCTTCCATTTGCGGGCTGCCATCACTGCATCTGTGAGATGGGCAAAGGCTGCCTGCGGCTAGCAGTGCCCACCAGCCTCCCCTGCACACCCTCTGTGAGTGTTATTCATAATAGACCCCCATACTGGTTTGTGTTGGAAGGGACCTCAAAGCTCATCCAGTTCCACCCCCCTGCCGTGGGCATGGACACCTTCCACTAGAGCAGGTTGCTCCAAGCCCCTGTGTCCAGCCTAGCCTTGAGCACTGCCAGGGATGGGGCAGCCACAGCTTCTCTGGGCACCCTGTGCCAGCGCCTCAGCACCCTCACCGGGAAGAAGTTTTTCGCATAATCTGGCACCTTATTTGCTTAGGTCTCACCTGCATGGCTGTAATCTGGCTGTGGAAGGGTGCAACGGTGCAGCATTTGCTTCAAGGGTGGATTCACTGGTGAATGGCACAGGGGGCCTGTCTTTGCAGGACATGGAAGTGAGGTGTCAGAGTCCTTCTCCAGAAGCCTCACTTAGGTAAAAGGTCTGTGAGAAAATTGCTGCTGATTGACATGGATTTAAAGCCCAGCAGAGTTGTGGAAGGCATGTTGGATACCAGAGAATCATAGAATCATAGAATAGCTAAGGTTGGAAAGGACCTTAAGATCATCAGTTCCACCCCCCCTGCCATGGGCAGGGACACCTCACACTAAACCATGTCACCCAAGGCTCTGTCCAACCCGGCCTTGAACACCGCCAGGGATGGAGCATTCAGAACCTCCCTGGGCAACCCAGTGCTTCACCACCCTCACAGTAAAGAACCTCTTCCTTACATCCAATCTAAACTTCCCCTGTTTAAGTTTTAACCCATTACCCCTTGTCCTGTCACTACAGTCCCTAATGAAGAGTCCCTCCCCAGCATCCCTATAGGCCCCCTTCAGGTACTGGAAGGCTGCTCTGAGGTCTCCACGCAGCCTTCTCTTCTCCAGGCTGAACAGCCCCAACTTTCTCAGCCCGTCTTCATACAGGAGGTGCTCCAGTCCCCTGATCATCCTCGTGGCCTCCTCTGGACTTGTTCCAACAGTTCCATGTCCTTTTTATGTTGAGGACACCAGAACTGTACACAATACTACAAGCGAGGTCTCACGAGAGCAGAGTAGAGGGGCAGAACCATGATGGAGCTTGTGCTGCAGACATGATTTAGTCAGGCTAATGGTTTTGAAAACCATTTTTACCAATTCACTACTAAAAAGAGATTAAATGCAGATTGCTGTGCAAGCAGGCTAAAGCAAAACTATTTAAACATGGCTATTAATGGTGTTAGTAACCTTCCAAGCAAGGAGGTTGCAGCCCAAGCCCTGAAATGCAAACCTGTCACACCATCATGGGCAGCATCATTGGGTCAGCAGACTTCAGAAAACATCGTGACGGATCAGGGAGAGATTATGCAGAAATGAGAGCTCCACTCTTGGCATAAAGACATCCTTAATGTAAAGAGCACCTCAGCAGTCCAGTAATGCAGTGGCAGATGGGGCCTGTGAAAAAAATCCCTCTGCTGCCTTCTCAGGACTGACCTACACAGGGAATTGTTTAAAATGCTGTAATTAACCTCACATAGTTGTAGTGCATGAGCTGAAGGCCAGTGTCTGATCCCCAGCACTCTGTTTCCACAAATTGCAAAAAGCTTTTTTATACTTTTTCTTTTTTTTCTTTTTCTCTTTTTTTTTTTTTTTTTTTTTTTTTAGGACAGGGTTTCAGGTGTCTAAAGAAACTACCTACTACTCTCATATTTAGTATTGAGTAGGAAGTCCTTATAGGTCTTCCAAACTTCTTCATCATCAATTAAACCACAACACTTTTGTTATTGCAGCAGATGGAGTCTTTGAAGGCTTGGAAAGGAGATGTTTGCTTTGACTTCAGTGGGCATTGGATAAGGGCCCAAAACAAGAATTGTGAAAAGCTATTAATGACTGTCAGTATTTTAGCTAGCTGGAAGTTTATGTGTACATAAATCACACATAGCTATCTTCATGGGGCAAGGTTATTCAGCATTCAAAATGGTGGGGATGATATACCAAACTGTTCATCTCAAGGGCTTTATTTCAGATTTGTTTTATTTCAGATTTGCCTTGTGTTGCTTGTGATTAAAAGTCATTACCATCTGCTCAGTAGCCTATTTGAAATGAGATGTTTATCTCCCAACAATTCCTAGCCAAGCCAGCATCCACAACAACCAAACTCATGATTAGAGTTACTGACTTTATTTGCAACCTTAATAAAGAGGCTCAGGAAATGGCTGAAAGGATGATGTTGCTTTATGCATGGAACATGACAGGTCTAGTAGAGGCAGGACAAATCCTCCACTTGGGTCACTGGAATTATCCAAAGCAATGCCTTGTGAATCTGGTGCAATTATGCTTTATAGAGAAGAGATAATGGGTAGTAGCTGTTGTACATGCAAACAGCAGATGAGGCCTGTTGCAAAAGAGGAGAAACTTGCTTGTGCAGAACAGAGATGTAACATTTCCTTCTACCTTTCTCCAGAAAGATGCTCACTTCTTTGTGTGCTTTCAGGCTGATAAAATGCTCACAGACCACAATGGAGAAGAAAATGATGCTGCATTGCAGCTTTTAAAGTAGATTCAGTAGAAAAACACCATTTCTGTATTTCTTTTCCCTTTATGATTCCAGCTTTATCGACTGTATCCAAATCAGAGCAAATAATTGCAAGGAGGTCAATCATGGCTCATGTTCTTCCTGTAAAAGCAAAGAGCTGCAGCTGTTTGGAAGTTTAGGTCATATGTAAACTGCTCCCTTGTCAGGTAGTGGAATTTTGTCTGTAATAAGAACTGTCAAAGCCCTAAATACACAGATTTTTTCCCCCTCTAACTGTTCTGTCTGTTTGGGTGATCAGGGGGAGATAAATAACTCTTCACTTGTTAGTTCATTCGGATAGGCACAAAGCACATAATTCATCATGTGTGAGTGGTTCTTCTGAGCAAAAGTACCTTCTTCAGTATCTTGTTGAACAGCAGTAGTTTTGAGAAATGAGTGTCAGTTACTGTAAGCAAGGCAAAGCTGTAACTACCTATGGCATACACTCATCCTGGGATTAGCAATTTTTGTTAGTCATTCTCCCCAGGAGAAAAGGTTCTTAAACTGCAGGTATTTCATGAGCAGATTTTTGCATTTTGATCAAACAAGATTGGTATTTAAGGTTTACACCAATTCAGATTTTAAGTCTAAGTCTAGGCTTTGTTTAATCTTAGGAATATTTTCTTCAGACTTTTATCCTGGCTTCTCTGTTATTAGAGGGATTATTTTGAATTAGGAGTAGTTTAGACAAGAGGAGGTTTTGGTTAAGGTTTTATAGTTTCAATTTGAGTTTAACCAGACAAAATACAATCGGATCCAAATGTTTTTAGCTATTCCTTTTTTAAGTGAAATGCAGTTCTGGCAGTTAGCTAAATAAGAGAACAGCAATTTTTCCTGACCACTGGTAGATCACAAATGTTGTAGAGCTATGGAGAAATATGATACAGATATGATTTCAATTGCTCCTTACAGACCTTTTCTGAACATGTTGCATTAGTAAGTGAGGACACATTATGGACTGAAAAGTTAGTTTTAATCTCTGATACGTGCCTAGGTCTGTCTATAATGACAGAGGACTCAGCATGGTGTGGAATCAGAAGATCAGTGATGCTGAGGGGAATAAAAACAAAATACATTTTGCAGATCTTTGATTTTGTTGCTAATAAAAGTCTCAGTGGGATCCTCAGTTCTCATTTAAATTTGCAGTTTCTTGCTACAGTTTCTGTTAACTGGTTTTCCAAGATGCTGCATCCTAATTAGGAACAGCAAAGAACTCACCAGATGCGCATATGGAAGGAGGCATCATATGGGGGATGGTTTATATGGACAATTCAAGTCCAACCTGCCCCTCTGTAAATTCAGAACATAAGGTTAAAAGGACCCAGACACTATTAAATCTGAGAGGCTGTTAAATGCCGTGGCTAGAAAATAAATGGAGCAATATGAGTTGAACTGGAGTGTTTTCTTTAAAAACATTCAATCTTGATTTGGAGATACGGGGAGACAGGAGGAAAAATAGATCTGTAGCTTCAGCAGTTGTTCAAAATACACCTCTTTTTTCAACTGGCTTTGTTCAATTTCAGCATTTAGATGAAAGTGTTAATAATCAGCTCTTTGGCAACTCATTCTCATCTTGTGAGCATACAGCATATAGAATCTGTTTAGCATTTTGTGATGGATATGCAGAAAAGAGAATACCTGAGCTCCCCAAATGACCTCCTTTCCTCACCTATTTATTTGAGTGAAGGAAGAGATTGTACCTCCAGAAAAGAGCCGCCTTCAACATCTAGCATTAAACTCACATCAAAGTTAGATAAATACTGTATGATTTTCTTGGCTAAAGCCTATGAAGACCCCATTTGAGGAAAGTAAAGATCTTCTTTTCCAAAACACCTCCCAGCTTCCCATTGTCAGCAGTCGGAGGTATTTTTAACCAAAGCTTGACTGTTACAACGGTTATATTTAACCATTATCAGTGGATCTTCCTGCTGTTGTCTAATCTGCCTAATACCTTAGAAGCCATATCTTCATTCAGCTTTTACTCTGTGGCAATGACTTTCTCAAGTTGGAGGTTGTATGGAGGAGTCCTATTTATTCTGTCTTTTATTTCAAGCTACCTTGTCTAGCACTAGGCACCTCCTGATCCTAGTACAATGAAAAATGAAGAATTCACTCATTTACTTCCACCATCTCTTTCATGATTTGAGAGGCCTTAAATCATATCTTGCTCTCTCCCTGCCTGTTTCATCTCAATGTGAAAAACCCTATTAAGTTTTTCCAAAGCTCTTTAGTCACTCCTTGAACAGAGGCTATTTGTTGGCTATAATCTTCATTAGGATTGTAATTATCTTCCCCATCTATTTGGAGATTGTACATCCTTCTTGATATGTGGTGACCAGTATTTTACTAAGCAGTTAAAATAAGGCCATGCGATGGTCTTATAGCATGGCATGACGAGACCTGCTGTAGTGCTTTCTGTTTCTTCTCTGCACTTCACTGCCTGGTGCTTCATGAATTGCAAGTGAAGCTGCTTGATGCCTGATAGCTGTTCTCTTTCTCCCTGCATCCTCCATCTTCCATTGCAAGATGCTTCTTGGGGGGCTACTGGACAAGTGATATTACTGGGGGAAAGGATAATTCTCTGTAGAAGGAGGATAGCATACATCATTATTTGCTTATTAGTCTTTCCTCCCAGTCTGACAAGTACCTTTCCCAAGGAGGGCCCCTGCTGGATGACTCACAGCAAGAAGTAAACAGCCAGCTGAAAAGTGTTTCTGCAAGAGGCAGTTAGAAGAAGCACAGAGATGAAGATTCACTCCACATTAGGGTATTCTGTCATGTACTATATGCTCTTAAGAAGAAAGAAATATCTCTCCTTGAACTGAATAAGAAGGTCTGTGCAGAAACCTTACAAAGGGCAGTGGCTAAGCATCTCAGGTTCTTCCTGCCAAGAATAGAGGGAACATAAGTAGACAACCTCCCAGCAGACATGACCTCAATCAACAAATCTTTCCTTTAGCTGGAGACATCCCCACGACCATCATCCCACACACACAGGCAGAAATTGGCCTTTCTCAACCTATCTCTAACCTGACAGTTCTCTCCAAGAGCCTTTTTTGTTTTGTTCCCTAGAAAGACTCAATTCTTTTGGCTTTAACTTCTTCAAAGACACATTGCCTATATTCATCTGCTGCATGATGATTCACATCTTGCAACTGCTCCTTAATATATGCCTTGCTTAACACCAGCTTTGCTGTGAGAGGCTGGTGAACATCACCAGCCCAAGCAAATATATATGATAAGAAGGTCAAAACCGTGGATTTGATATCTGTTGTCCCAGGGAGGAAACTGGAGCTGAGAGGGTGTTTGCTGTGTTCGCTGGCCAGAGGAGTCAGTGGCCATTCTGGGAACTTTTGCCTGGAAGATAACCTGCTGACATAAGAACAACCACAGTGCACCTCCTCTATCCTCTTTTATTGGCAGGATCTCACCCTAAATAAGTGCAAGTTACCATGGATTAGTTTCAATTAATTCCGAAGTGGAGACAAACAGAAGTAGCCATTGCCCATGGGTGAGAGCTGCCAACTGCATCGCTAATGAGAGCTCCAGAATCAATAACCGAGCAGCTCCAGGCAGTGCAGTATATTTCTAATGCACGTTATAATACTGTTGACAAAAATTGTTCTGTTTGCTATAAATTATTCAACTTTTAATTGTTTAGGCTTTGGAGTCTGTAAAGATGCTAATTGCCAACTGTAAGATTAACTTGATAATGTGTGCTTTGTGTTTTCATAAAGTTGACCTTAAAATTGCAGAGAGAAGAAAGGCTGACTTTACAGATACCTCATCAAAAATAAGGAGATCAAAAAGATGGGAGTGTTCTGCCTTTTTATTCTGGGTTGCAATCATTAAAATGATATTCCACATCTACCATGTCTGTGTGAACAAAGTAATAAGTATTTTGACCAGCACACATACTTAGATCAATATCCCACTCCATCTGGGTTATCCCATACCATACCTTGATCACAGACAATGAGCAGCCTTAAGAAGAGACTGTGGTTTGGCCTGTCTTACCTGAAATCCTATACTTTTCTTTGTAATAATTAGGTAAAATGGAGTGAAGTATTTGCCAGTTTTCTGACGTTTCTTCCAGGTTTTCATGTATTTGTATCTTTTTTCATTGCCTGTTTTATCTTGCAATAAGATATTATATATATAATGTTTTATATTGCAATAAGACTATATCTTGTAAGGATATTGTCTAGACAAAGTTTGCTTTTTTTAGTAATCATATGGGGAAATTATAGTAAGAAATTTATTCAGAAATGTCTTTGCTCAGAAAAACTGACTATTTGCTAGAACTGAAAGTCAAGTATCACCTAAAAAGTCAGTCTGGGTTTTTCCACATACTTAAACTGACTTTTTTTAATTTGAACCTCTGGTTCCTGGTATCCTGATTCACATTCCACTTCTGAATGTGAATCAGTGCATCCAATATCAAATGTAAAAAAGTAAGCTAAATTGAAGAATGTTTTCCTCTGTTAGATATTAAAAACACCTTCCTGGAAAGCTGAAAAAAAAAGACCAAAGTATTCTTTTCTTCTAGCTCAGAAGTTCACTTTGAAGCAGCATTCCCTTACACAGCTGAAGAGCGTGATCCCAGAGGTGTTCTCCGTTGATGTCAGTGAGAGGTAAAGGATGCTCAAAATCGTGCCCTAATTTCTAACTTGGCTTGAAGGTATGTTCTGTGTCCTAGTAAGAAGCCAGTTTACAGCAATCACCTTGTGCTGTAATAAAATCATGGCAGGCTGTGATGGCTGAGGCTACCAGTGTATAAATGTAGCATTGAAAATAAGCACTAAATGGCTGTACTGTGGCAGTGATGTTTTGGCAAATGATAATCCAGAGGTGACCAGAGATGCACAGAAGATCATCTACTTGAGTTATTCCTTCAATAAGGATACTCTGCATGAGTGTCCTTTTGGTTTAAGCCCTTTTGTTCCTAGGAAGGTCATTAAGCTACTTTGTTTCTGGAGTATATTTATTACTTTTAAATCCAGTGCAGTCTATTTAGTCTTTCTTGATGCTTCTTTGTGAAACATTAATGAGAAGCTCACGCACACAGTCATAGAATTTGTCTGATTATCCCATTCATATTTAATAAGCTTGCTGCTTACACTTCAGAGTAACAACAGAAATTAGATAATGCAGTACTTTAGTCCTGGAGTGCCCCTAAATTTGTCTTTAAATTATTCATTACACTGGCTAAGGGCAAGGGAGCTGTAGTAACCCTAAATTTATCTAAATCCTACATTGTCTCATTTGTGCCTCTTTGTTGTTATTCCCACTTTAAAAAAAAATAACTAATTCTTATTGAAACTGAAAACATCCAGTTTTGATCTGTTGCGGATTTATGAACATTCTCCGCAGAACTGCAGTCAGCTAAAACCAAAGATAATTTAGTTGGACTTCAGCTGTATATACAAAACGTGAGCCCTGTAATCAAGTAAGACAGGGAAGATCTGTTTTGTTAAAGTAATTGTTGTATTTTCTAGCTAAGACAGTATTTTTTTAAACCTGTCAATTAAACAAGAACACAGATATTAACCAGCTGCACTCCCACAGTTTTAGGCTTCTTTATGGTTTCATTCTATAAACTACGTGTCTCTTTCATATGGGTTATATCCAGAAACACATTATCAATGTTATATTTTAAGGTCTGTAAAGTAAATAGACCTTGTAAGGTAAAAGGTTTAATCCAAGCCTAGGTGGCCCCTCAAGCAGAGTCTAAAATCATATCTTAAATGCTGGTGGGCTCATAATCTATTTTCCAAAACAGACAGAATCTGTCATACCTTCAGATTCATCAGAATGTTCCACTCTTAAAAGTCCTATCTGAAAACAGCAGCACCAAATACACCCCAGTTCAGATGTATCCCAAGCTTCATAAAAGCAGAAGTTTCATGAGAGCAGCTCAGTTAAGAAGACTTGCATTCTCTGATTCACTCTTGTAGTGGAATTTTCCTGTTCTCACGGGAATGGTTCATAAACCACTCCTGAGTTTAAACCTTTAATGGAGTATATATATATATGCCCAGTATCAGAATGGATCAGGTGCCCAGGGTGCTGACTCTCAGGTTCATCTCTAAGTGTTATTATAGACTAGCTGGCTGTCTAACAATGAGGGGCAAAACCAGGCTCATGGGGAGGGGTACTGGAGAATCAGTGAAATAGCACTTCCTTCTAAAACATCTGAGTGGAAAAGAAATATGAAGCTTAAAGTGGGGTATAACTGTGTTACACACAGGCAAGAGGAACCCAGGAACAGTGCAGTTACCTCTATTTTTTCTGCATTGTCTTCACAGCTGAGTGGAATGTCCCCACTGTGAAAAGCCCCAGTCCAGATGAGTGGCAGCACAACAGCTCATTTCCACACTTTGACCAACCAACCTAGTCTAAAAGTCCAAAATGAGGAACTAGCAGAGCAAATGTTGTTACACAGTTCCTAAAATACACTTAATCCCCATTAAAAGTTTGGAACCTCTTTGTACTCTTTGCACTCTTTGACTTTCACGTGTGTGCATGGTAATGCACCAGTATCCTCACCTGTTATTAAGAAAGAAAGTCACACATGTAAGAGTCGGAGGCATTTTACTGCATCTCGAGTACTGTCTCACTGGAACACTCACAGAGACAGATTGCATATCCTGACAGCAGTCCAAGGGGGAAAAAACAACTTTGGGAAGGCAACACAATCTAAATTTCCTAGAGTTGAGCCAACAGACAGATGGTAGGAACTAAACGTCCTTAAAAAAATCCCATGGCCATGGCCATCCTGGCATCAGTCTGGTATTCCGCCAAGCTGGGAGCCCCAGTGAATGAACTGCAAGGAGCTTAGAGCTGTTTCAGTCCAAAAGAGCTTGAGGGGCAAAGAGTTAGAAGAGATAAACTGCTGCAAACTGCTGAACTTAGAAAGTTAAGATGGGAACCTGCCCATTCAATACTGGCAATGTGAGGGAGTGACTCTAAAAGAAATCTGTGATTTGATGGTTGAATTCATGTTACTTTTCAGCCATGGTGGAACAGGCAGATCCAGCTGCTGGCAGCTTACTTCTTGTGCAGAAAACAAAAGCAAGGCTTTTCCCCACTTAAATGCTCAAAAATAAAGCTTATATTAGATTTGTCTTGGACACAGCTGAGATAGATTTATGGAATAGCAGCCTCTACTCGTTGCTCAGCAGGGCTGTCAGCACAACACGCACTCCTGGGCAGGTAGCAGCTACTCCAGGCACCTGTACTCCTCATGCCATAGCAGAGTTTAAGGATTCATCTTTCAGATAAATCCCAATAAAAAATGCCTTACCTTTCCTCTGTGTTTTGGAGAGCAGGAAATACCAGCTGGGGCAGGAATGAAACCTAGAATAGCAGCTTGCATTAAACAAGACTTGTGAGACTTTTCCCTCCTTGTTTTAAGTACAGTTTAATGATTCAAACAACTAAAAGTATCTGCTTTCCTCTTCAGAAGAATTCACCCAAGTTTAGCTTCCAAGTCCAACTGTTTTAACACTGAAAACTGTGGGGTTTGTGAGATTCAGCAACACAGTGCACGTGCTTTTCCCCAGAAAGCCTCATGTTGTCTGACCAGCATAAAATGATAGTGGAGCCAGACCAGATGCTTATGTGTCAGAGAGTCACCATCATGTCTTAAAAATCAGCTGTGCTTTGTGCTTGGGGTCAGCAGCTGAAGCAACAGCCTTGTATGGTGCTGCTAGGCCAAGCTTCAGTTCATAGGCACACACTCATAACTGTTCTTGCAAATCTTCTGAGCTTGTTTCAGAGGTTTCCTGAGGCAGGAAACAAATAGAAAGGATGACCTTCTCTCAGAAGCCCTTCCCTCAATGGGCTTCTGAGAGTTGGCAGCATCTCTCACTCCTAATTCGTATTTCCATCTGTCCTCCCATTGAATGATGAGAGTGAAAACATGCCTGGGGGAAGGCTGGACACAGAGCTATTATTGGGTTTCCCTGCATCATTACTGTCCAAAGTGAAGGAGACATCCTGGCTTGGTACAGGGAGGCAGAGGGGAATGCAAACATGTATAAACCACTGAGCTGTTTCAACTTGCTTTGAACATTGCCGTAATTCTACATTAAAGGTGCTGTGTGGCAAGTCACTGCACCATGCAAATCACTGCACCACGCAAATCACTGCACCACACAAATCACTGCATCACACAAATCACTGCATCACACAAATCACTGCATCACACAAATACTGCACCACACAAATACTGCACCACACAAATCGCTGTGCTGGAGCCATTCCTGGGTGAATGTTGTAATTCCCAAAGCCTGCAAAGGGGTTCTTTAATCCACAGTATAAAGTGAGAGATGGAAGTAAATTATTGGAGGAGAGAGCAGGCTTTGGGGTCTTTTAATTTCCACTGGGGCCAGCCTTATACAGCCAGCCCAGGCCCAGGGAGCAAAGAGGACACTTAAAGCCACTTTTCTACTTTCTGGGTTTGATTGCTGTGTGCTTCTTGCCCGGGGACCCAGGCCTTTGCTGTTCTATTTACCCTTCCCAGAAGTGCACTTAGCAATAAATGGAAGATTCGAATTCAGGCATTCACTCTGGAGAAAAAGTGGGGTACAATAAATAATGGTCACAGGTTAAGTCATCCAGGTATTGCGTGTGCTTTTAATGGATATCAGAGAAAAACACCATAATGCTTGCAGATAACCTCTTTTTCCCCCCAATAGTATCTATTTTAAACTATATCTCATGAGAGATTTCAACTATTTTCTTTGCTTCCAAACACAGCTTCCCTCTGAATCTCTGACTCTGAAGTAGAGAGCTGAATTCAAGCTGCAGAGAAATCTGTTAGAAGATGCCTGGAGGTATGTGTGGCACAAAGACACAAGAACTTTATCTTCTTTACTGGCTGCTCTGAACTGATTGTGGGGATTAATGATTTATCTTTCTTTAAAGAACTCCTTGGAGCTACATAGTCTCAAATCAGATAAAGTATATACCATTCCCTGACCAGACACTGCCAATTTAGGTGTAGCCTTTAATCTGGTTACTTCTAGTTTTACAGAGATTTGACTTAAAGAAAAGTTTCTCAAGAGATGTCATCAGTGTTCATCAGTTTTACAAAATCTCTATGATACTTGTGAAAGCCTTGCTAACCTGGGATGTTAAGAAGAAAGGAGAAATAGCAGAAATTCACCCTTCTGCTGAGAACAATCCAGTATCGCACCTCTGTCCTGGGTAAAACCCTTGAACAGTGAGTAGGGCTTGAGCTGGCTTCTGATACGAGGGCAAAGTTTGCCTCGGAGAGTATCACAGATGGATTTCATCCTGCCCTCTGGACCAATATAGGTTCGCAGCAGGCACAGAGAAAGCAGACAGCTCCCTCATCCAACTAACATCTGTTCAGGTTTGCTGCAAACTTACGTATCTGTGCAGAACGGGAGTAAGGGATTGCTCAGAAGCAGAAATATACAACATTGATCCATAGATGAGTCTTTAAGAGTCAACATGGATGTTTCCGGAAATGCACCAGGGACGACATGTCTCAGAGATGTTAAATCTGGTTATTAACTCCCTTGCAACAAAGTCAGTGGGAGTCATCTTGTTGAAACCATGTTTGGACTAGAGACTTGTCTGATTCATGTCCTTATTTATATGAATCCAAAGTGGGATTTGTTATTTGAGGTAAAAAAGAAACTAAGAAATCCATTCACATATACAGTAAAAAGGAATTCACACACAGTCTGAAGCCTGCCAAATGCAAGGCAGCTCCAGAGAAAAATGGCATTGTAAACCACTTCATAGCTTAAAAGAAAATAAGCTGGGCGTACAACAAGGTAGGAACCATCTGCTTGGCTTCAGTGGGAATTTCCCTGGAGTAATCATTGCAGGGGTGGGTAGATCATGAAATAGAGGAACCTTTTTTTTCCTCCTCTTGTAATTAAATATACTGGGTTTCTGCAGAGCGGTTTCTGGCACTGAGTTAGACATTTATCTGTAATACCTTATCATTGTAAGGCTACATAATTACAGTGACAAACAAGCTCATTTAGTTCAGCAGGGTTGGACATTTCATCTGATTGACAGACCTTCATTTGCTACAGATCATCAGTCCATTTTCTGTTGTAATGTCAGATTTCAGCCACTGCTCCATGCACTAAAATGCCCTTCCCACAGCATCCAAGATAAATATCTGTTTGATGTAGTATCAGATTTCTCTAGGAAGCTAAAATATGAAGGGGTGACCATATTTGCCACATTCTTCTTCATGACATTCAGACTAAGCAGTTGGCCTTTACACAGGTCTTCTGTGAAGCTGGGAGCAGAGAACATGAATCAAGGCAGTAGAGGTCTGTGTGACCTTGTGATAAATTAACATTGTCCTTTGACTCGATACGTTTGGATCTACAGCATAAATTCTTGATCAGGATGTAAAATCAGACCTACTCCTAGTTTGCTTCTTCTGCGGTATCTGGAATTAATATTGCAGGTAGTGATTCAGTTCTAATGCAATTGGAGTTAAATATTGCTGTCAATCTGAGTACATTTAATTAAGCAGTATTTACAGAGCAACTAAATGTTCTGAGAACTACAATATGATGACCTGGAATTCTTCAAGCCTTCTTTTTCTTTCTATTTCAATACTTTCTCTTGTGTTTCAGCTTCTTTTGCACTGGTAATACAATGCTGTTTCACATCCTCACAGCTGACCTTTAGAGAACAAGAAGCTGGGACCATTGTGGCAGTTCTGTGCTTTTCCCTTTATGGTTTCGTATAATACGTATTAGCCTTATTTTTATTTTCTATGTGGAATGAAACCAACCTTGAGAGTTACGTAGTGTCAGAAGGAACGTATTGCTGAATTTCTTTGAATATGGTAAGCCTGATTTTTCCAGTTCCCATGCTAAGTGGAAAAAGGCCAAAAGAAGAAACAAGAATTGTCCAGTATTATCTGTACTATTAATTAAAAGTCAATATATTACACATTAAACCAAAAAGTAATAATTTATCTCTAAGCAGTGGGCCTAACAAGCAAAATCCACATACTGGCTATATTGTCTCAAGATACATCAAGTAAAGAAATTAACTAACTTCCACAAAGCAGCTTAAAATCATGTGGATTATATATTTGAATGTAAATATAGTCGGGTGAGTTTATAGAGAGAGGCAGACAGAGGAATAAAATAGAAATAAGGAAGGAAAGATTTTTACAATAGGCTTTTACTGTATCTTTTGCAATGGTTGATTGACTTTCTAACGTTCTCTTTAGCAGCATCATTCTGCATAATCAGAACCAGAAGGAAAAATTAGCACTGAGCAAGGCAATATAATCAGCGTTTTCCTCCACACAGTGGCTAAAGAAACTGTATTACCCGAGACAGGGGTTAGAAGTGTTCAATATCAGCCCAGCTTGGAGCCACTGGTCAATCGATGAAATGAGGCTCCTGAAGGGCAGGGCAGTAGCTTTAGTTGATAGTGTGCAGACTTAATTTTGGCCATACCATCTGTTGGGCAGCTGGATGTTTCCTGTCTCTCATCTTACACTAAATACTACCAAACTTTCCTAAAATGCCCCATGCTCCACCAGCAAAGTCTCTGAACCTTGAGACTCTGAGAGCATTTTTCCTTCCAGGAACACAGTGAGGATGTTTTGCCTCATGGCTGCAGGGCTGCGGTGCACTGAGGGTGGCTGAGCTCTCAAGGGCACAAGAGGAACCCATGAGCCCTCAGATGAACCCAGAACTCAACAATTTGCTCCACTTCCTTTTCTCTAGGCAACCTGATGGTTGCACATTTAGAAGACATAAATGTTAGATGAAGTTTAGTCAGACTGTGAACAACCTTCTTATTTACAGGGCAGTCCCACTGCTTGAATCCATCCATAGAAAGAGCTCCAAAGATGGCACATACTCTAACTCACACAGTTTGAGTATTTAAAGATACTTTTTGTGTATGTATTTGGGCCCAATGTGACTTTTAGGGAGTGCATAGCTGCATGGTACAGCCCACAGTCTCCAGTGGTTTCACAAGTTCTTTTTCACAGTATTTTGCACTAACAGGCTGCTTAAGAGGACTTGGATTCCAACTCTTATTAAAATCAAGCACAGCAAAGATGTTCCCATCTTCACAAAAGCTGAAAACTGAGGCTTGTCCATCCTGCAGTGCAGCACAGATGCGCTACAGTTGTGCAGGATATGCCAGATGTATTTAGGGTAGTAACTGGTCTGGGAACAGGGGTAAGTGAAGAGCAGATGTATCATCCCCTTCTGCTGCCTCTGCTCTGGGGACAGATAAGCTGGGGGCAATGGGAGAGAGCAACCACTTAAACCAGCGCCGCAGGAATCTCCAGGGTCCACTGACTCCTTGTTTTGGATCATTCGGGTGGAGTGTTACAGTTTTTTTCTATAATGTGCATTTTGAGATAAATACCAGTTGCAGCAAAGCATCTTTTATGACACAGTTGTTTAGAAAAGGGTCAAACTGCTGATGTGCCCATTATCATTATAAACCACCACCGGTGAGCGTCCATGCAGCCGTGTGGAACGGGGCTCACAGAGGCCCATTCAATTACAATCAACCAGTCAGATACACATTGGGCTGTGTTTAACGGCTGGCAATGAGCAGGATCTGCAGCCTCTGAGTGATGATGAACTGGCTGTATAAGCTTTAATTAGCCAGAGACAAGGTGGAATTACAAGGACTGTTTTATTAGTGCAAACACTTTGCTCTCCTGCTTCCCCCATCCCTGAAATTCATTGTGCACTTTGGATGTGTTCATGAGCAAGGCAGATGCTGGGGGATGAAGAAGAGGTTTCTTGCAACCTGACCCCTCAGGAGGAATAGCAGCAGCCAAGCCTTTAATGCTGACACAGGTTTCTGAAATATTTATGCCCGCAGTTCACTGTTTACCTCATGGTCTCCTCTCCTTGCTCACGCCGAGCTGCCTCATCAGGCAGCTCCTGCTATTTAGGAAGCACAGAAAAAAGAGTGGAATTAGAGGAAAACCCTTTTGGAATGCATTGAAGCTTCCACTAAAGAGCTGCAGAAAATTAATGTGTAGGCAGAAAGAGCTGGGAGGGGGGACCAGCGGGTGCCTCGGCAATGTCAGGCAAAGCATATGAAGGGCAGAGTTCCTCTTGCCTCACCTCAGCAGGCCTGACTGCTGCCAGTTTTAAGTGGGAACAGTGTTTCAGGACCAGTTATTAGCCACCGAGTGGTCTGGTTGGTTGTTTGACCCAGTCCATGCTGGATGCTCTGCCCTCGGCTGCTTGCAGAAAGGGCAAGCACAGCCTCAGCAGCCACCCGCAGCAGGGATGGAGGGAAAGGCCTCAGAGCAGACAGCAGCAAGTAGGTTAGTCTGAAAGATGTGAGTGGAAACAGTGCTCTTACAGAAATCCTTTACAGACTTCTATATATTCACTATTTAGTGGCTCAGAAGCAGATCACATCCCTTTGCATCATTTTCAGCAAGGAAGTGGCTGAACTCCCTCCCTTCATGCTCTCCCCTCTGACCTGTCTCATTACAGAGAGCCCAAGGAAAGTCAATATGGAAAAAAACCTGTTGGATCCTCGTATCAGTCTTGGATTTACCTGAAAACAGCAGATTTCAGCAAGACAAAGAGCTTTGGAAGACAAAGAGCTTTTCCTTTGGGATTTCTGGTCAGTTGTTGTGGGGTTTTTTACTGCGTCTAGATCCAGGCTGCCTGAAGATAATCATGGTTTTGCCAGTTATTTTAGTGTAATAGGAATTTGATCTTGAAATATGCTGAGCTCACAGGCTATATAAACCATAATATTTTGTACATCTGCTCTAAATCCAGACAGCCAGAGGGCTGACGGTACATTTCCTCACAGCAAACAGATCTGCTTAAAAGCATGAAATAGATCTTGAGAGCCACCAGCGCTGATTGTGTGTCATACCTTAGATGGGGAATGGAAGGAGAACCATGATCAAGCACACTTTATTGACTTTATTCCTTCCTTAACTAAGAGCCAAGCTTCTCCAAATATGCATAGTAACCGTTTTATGCAATATGAAAGCAAGCTCTAAATTACAGTCCTCAAATCACCAATTCAGAGCCCTCAGAAACATTTTTTGATTCCATTTCTTCAACTGTAATTTCCGGGCTGGAGCCTTAGCCATTAATAGCAGCTACATCATTACACCACCGTGACACTCCGGCAGCACCCTCATCCATTTCAGTCATTGATCCACTAATGTGTGCCGGATGAGAAAGGAAAAGGTCCAGCTCATTCATCCTCCCCCTCCTTTCTCCTCCTCTCACCGGGTGGCAAGCACTCACCCTTGGCTTTAAAGCCCTATCAGATTTCAGATGCTCAGTGTTAATTGTCTCAGCACAAGGGCTGACCCCAGACAGCAACGGGGCCATAGGAGTGGGTGAAATGCTACCAAAGGGAATGGATGTGCAGCTGCTTTCCTTGGCCCACAGTCTGCTGATAGCACTGGAAATTACAAGTTAGAGCTGGAGCTGTAAAGCACACTTGTCAGCATTGGATTCTTCCTGGAATATGAAGCCAAACCAGGAAAAGGGTGGGAGAAAGGCTAAAGGAATTAGGCAATAAGATCAAAGGTACAGCAGTGTACTGCTGGAGAAGTAGCATCAGCTGCACAAGTAATCCTGGTTGCATATGGAGCAAAACCAAATCCCTCCTGTGGACATCCATACATAATCCATATTACAACTCTGTTTAGGTGACTTTCTAAGTCACAAAGATACTGAGCTGACAGATGCATTGCTTATGCTTGTAGCTTGTTGGGGCTTTCTAATCCAGCATCCTGATTTTTACTTTTTCTCTAAACTATCCAACTAACCTATAGGCACATTCTTGCTTTCCCTTTTCAGTCTTTGCTTGGTACATCTGTTCTTTTGTTCTGCTTTCCCTTTTCTTTATATTGCTCATTTGGGGGATCAAAGGATACAGGAAATAAAAATCCTGTTAGTTTTCAAAGGTCCACACAGCAGTAGCTAATTGGTTTCCAATCAAGCCCAGACTGTCTTTGATCTCCAAAGCCCTTGCAAAGAACATTATGCTAAGACACAAGCATATGTGTTCAGTAGCACTACCAGGAGATCTTATCTTTAAAGTCTGCAATTACCTGTGCAGAGGCACTTATAAAGATGAGAGGTTCTGAAAACAATGCTGTGGTTTTACACCATCTTCCATTAAACTTGCATTAATGGGATGTACCTACACCCTTCTGAAGAGATACTTTCACTAATATTTCTCTCGTGCTGAAGCAACAGAGGTGGTGGACTGTGCAGCATCATCAGGGACAAAGACCAGCTTCCTCCAGCTCCTCAGACCACAGTACAGCCACATAACCATCCTTCCTTGCTGGAGATGATTGCTGCCTTTTTCCATTCTTCCTTATGAAGCCAGACAGAAATTTGCTGCTCATTCCCACTTCCAGGCAGCAGTTTATAACCTTTGGCTGTGCTGGTTGAACTTTAACCTTTTGCAATGATCAGTGGAATGTTCTTGTTTATATATATCTTTCAACAAGAACTAAACATGATACAAACTTCTTTGAAGCAGCTTTGCCACCACAAGAACCATAATACGAAAGAATACCCTTGTTCATCTTTGCAAGCAGTTAATCTACTCTGTCACTTTGAACCTTAATGCCCTTCACTTTGCCTGACTTTATTCACTAAATGTCCTTCTCTTCTTTCCTCTTCAGTGCCTAAAGCCACTGAAACGTGGGCAGTGTAGTCTCTTCTCCCAACTAAGAAGTGATAGAACAAGAGGAAATGGCCTCAAGCTGCACCAGTGGAAGTTTAGATTAGATATTAGGAAGAACTTCTTCACTGAAAGGGTAGCCAGGCATTGGAACAGGCTGCCCAGGGCAGCGGTGGAGTCACTGTCCCTGGAGGTATTTAAAAGATGTGTAAATGTGTCACTTAGGGACATGGTTTGGCGGTGGACTTGGCAGTGCTGGGTTTATGGTTGGACTTGATAATCTTAAAGGTCTTTTCCAGCCTAAATGATTCTATGATTCTGTATGGAAAAGCAAAGTGTGTTCATGCTAGAAAAACATGAGATAAACCAATGAAATCTTGGGTTTGTAGGAGTCTCTTCCTTCTGTTCCTTTTCCCTTTTCCTTTCTCTTTTTCCTTTTTTTCTTTTCTCTTCCCCTTCTTCTTTCTCTTTCTCTCCATGCCATAGCTGGCCAGAAATCACAGGTCAGTTTTTCATGTATCAGGACAGAATTACCTTGTGCAATCTGGTGAGGCAGAGCACAGGAGACACACAGGTTTATGCCTATGTATGCATACCAAAATCTGTGATTCTGGTTCTTTAAATGAACAGTATGCACTCATTTCACTTAAAATAGGACTCCTGTCAAGCTCCTACCCTAGAGCAGCTACCAGTCCCACTGTCAAAATCACTCTCTGTGGTTCTGAATAGGTTTCTTAATGAAAGAGCAACATTAGCTCTTTGGAACATTTCGTCCCTGAAGGATGCAGCAGCAACAGCCTCTGAATGATTTCTGGCTCAGACCTGCTTATAAATGGTAGGAAACAATGGTTTAAAACATGAGTATCAGCTCACTGGAAATGCTTCGTAACAGTGACTCAGGGAACCAAGAAACAAATGGATACTAAGAACGGTACCCACTGATGAGCGCTTTGTTTCCCACATCCACACTGACCCCCTTAAGAATAACTATGGTGTGGGGATATCATTACCGAAACAATGCAATAACCAGGGAACGAAATGGTTTGGGAATGTCCTGGATTCAGCTGTAACAGTTATTTTATTCTCCTTTCTAGTAGCTGGTGCACTACTTCCATTCTCCTTCCCATCCTGCCCGGAGAGAACAGGCTGTGTGGTGTGGACTTACCGGCTGAGCTTAAACCACGAGAGGGATGCAATCCAAAGACAAATATGTTCTGGTGAAATGAAATTTTTAATGTGTGCTGGTTGCTGGATTCAATAATGACGAGCATCCGCATGAAATCCTGTGCTGCTATTTTCGCAGTCAGGTCATACCCGCTGTCACAGGAGTCATTTTTTATTCTAGTTAAACCTGGAGGCAGTAGCAGAGTAGAATTTGACTTGAGATGTCTAGGTTGAAACCAAAGAAAAAGAGCTTTTGTTATAAAATGCTGGGTTGGACACAGGACTCAGGTGTTCTTTTGCAGCTGTACTTTGCTAAAATCTCCAATATCAGGGCTTCAGCATCATTTAAATGTTGAAGAATAGTGTTTACCAACAGCCTTGTGCATATCCCCAGTCCTGGTTCCAGGCAGATTTTAGATCAAATGTCACTGTTCTTACACAGGAAAACCCCTCAAGCAGCTTTTCCACAGCATGGAGGGCATCAGGATCAAAACCAGCAACAAAACAGATGACATTTCTCATCAGAAGATAGAAGTGTCTGTCCCTGCTCTGTTAGAATCTTCTCCCTGGCAGCAGGAGAGTGAATGTTTCCTGGTGTGTTTGAACCTCTTGCTTTTCTTTTTTTTAGTTCTAACGTGTGTTTGTTACTGTTCTGCCCCAAAATTTGTTTATAGGCAAAGAGGAAACACACCTTATATATGAAGCCAAGACTTTACTGTATGTATTTGCAGTCTGTTCCAAGAGCCATTATCAGCCCAGTTCTAATTATTACAGGAAGAAGCAGCTTTGTCCAGGAAAAACATTTTCAATGCTAATAATAAACCAGTTAAAATAATTCCTCCTGTCTTCTGCCCCATTTCCTGTAGTGTGGCCCCTTCCCCTACTCCTTGGCCTCTGGGGCTGGTGCTGGCATTTTAGCGGTAGTGCTACTGCAGCAGCAGTCTTTGGCCAGGAGGACTATGATGTTCATGCTGATAGTTCTCTCTTTCTTGCTCTAAGATCCACTGGGGCTCATTTTAATGTGTTTTCTAACCTGTTTTACACCTTTCCTTTCTTCATTGTTCTGCATCACTTCTGAATTTGCTATGTACATCTTTTAAATCTGCTAGATATTATTTCTTTGTTGTTCATTATCCCTAAACCCATTTTTTTCCAGCTCTAGCTCCACGTTTCTTTAACTGGCTGTGGGTGAGTTCGTCGCTGTGGGGTCTCCAGTGCCCCATCTCTTCTCACTCCATGCTGTTATTCCTTTCCTTGTCATACCAGACCCATCTTTCTCTATACTGCATGAGTAGAGTGTGGAATTACAGCAACATCATTGCAATGGTAAGCAAAGTAAAAGAATTTAGGTATAGTCACCTGGTCAGAAGAAAAATTGTTGTAACAGCTCAACTGAATTGAGACAAAGCTGCAGCAGGTCAATAAATGTTCAGACAAAGCAAATCTGATGCCCCTTAGCCCTGAGGCCTTGCAAACTCAGCACATAACCTGTGGCCTGCCACTAGCAATGGCAGTATGACATAACAAGGTTACATGGCTGCATTATTATTCTATTCTTAATTTTCTCATTGTCTTTCTATCCAACTCAGACAAAGCTAATACCCATCACCAAAGGTAGGAGCTGCAGGTATGGGGATCAGTACAATACGAGGAGCTGGCTGTTGATGAACGCCTTAATGAAAAACAACTCGTTAAATAGTGCATGAGGGATTGGTGCCTCCTTGGCTATGTTCAAAGTGTTTCACAAAGCCTCTGGAATAAGTGGTACTGAATTAATCTAAAGCTATAAATAGGTTAATCAGGTGGAATGTGCAGCTGCTAAAATAGGTGAGTTACACAATTACACTGACCTTGGCTCATAATGGTCCAAGTTCTCTTCATCAAATTTCGGTTTCAACTCGGAGAAGATCTTTACCTGGCACCTGGGTTAGCGTGCTCTTGAAGTCCATACTTTGCCACTGAAGTAACAAACAACAGGGCCAACACTAGAGCAATTTCTAGGGGGTTCTGATAATTGCTCACGTAGCTGCTGAGCATATCACAGAATCCAAGACTGGTTTGGGTTGGAAGGGACCTTAAAGCCCATCCAGTTCCAACCCCCTGCCATGGGCAGAGACACCTTCCACTAGAGCAGGTTGCTCCAAGCCCCATCCAATCTGGCCTCGAACACTGCCAGGGATGGGGCTTAAAATATTTCTGTAAAAAACTGACTCAAGACTAAGGCATCAAGTCCCTTCCATCAGAGTTTAATACTTGAAGAGCTGAAAAGATGAATTGCACCTCTGCAGCTTGTACTTAAAAAAGTTAAATGAAGTCTATATATGTGATTCCCCTGTGACAGCTTCCTCTATTAATAGACTCATCCAGCTGTCACATGGAGCAAAAAGCATATTAGTCACTTGAAACCACAAACCCATCAAAATAGCTCAGATTACTCAGCACCACCTCAGTGTGTAGACAGTAAGCAACCTACTTAACAATAACTAAACAACTAGCAGGACAAGATGCAGTAAGCTGGGGTAAAAAGCAGGATGATCCTTGAAATGGCACTAACTGCTGCAATTGCTGTCTGGAATAGCATCATGTTATTTACAGTTCCCACACCTTTGCTTCTTTCTAAAACAAGTAGTGGTTTACAGGATAAGTATATATACCATAATCCCAAACTATCCATTGCAATGTACTTCCACTTTCTACCCCAGAAGTAAAAGATAGAAACTTTTCATGCTGCAGGTTTCTCCTCTTAGTCAAAGCCATCCAGAATGCTCCTTGTCAGCATCTCACTTGAGAGACAGAAACTGAAGCTGTGGTGCTGTTGCACTGGTTGAACAGATCAGAGTTAATGATATCAAGGCATTTATTTCTTCATTATTCTCTTTGGTTGATATTTAGAAACAAAAAGGCAACCCTAGTTGAGGAATCTGGTTATTAGAATCATATTAGTAGAGCAGATTGACATTTGGAATTAATTGTAAAAGGGGCAAAGGGTTTGCGTTCATTCTTGATCTTTTTGAACGTAAAATGAAGGTCTGATAAATCAAGTTTCCTGCATATTTGTCATCTTGGAAGCATCAAGGTTTATTGTGATTTGTTGGTTGATATCAAACCAGCTCTTTATTTAATGACCCAAGCTGAGATCATGGCTCCAGAGAAGCAGACATTTAATATATGTGGTGTGAAACTGCTCACACAATTTTGATGCATGATTTACCCAGTTCGTTTCCTTAAATTTCAGCAAGAAGTCAAGGAACAGCAGAAGTCTAAGCTGTTAATATAAGGTCTTATTCACCACCAGCAAAGCTGTTTTCTGGTATAGGGCTATGAGATTAATACTTCACTTATCGCTGGCTTAAACATGGATCTTACACGATCCTGACAAGTTTTTGCCTATGTAAGCAAGGTCAACAGATTTGGGTGACTGAATATTGATCACAAATTCTTCTGCCTTTGGTTCCTTAGGAATTTGTGTTTGATTATTTGAACAAAGAAGCACCAGCAAAACAATACACTTTGGAGCATTTGGAAATATGAAACACATGGAATATATATTTCATATTGATGACGTATGTTATATAAATACATATGAAATATGCTCCTCCTCTCTCTGGCTTATGCTTGACCTCTGTGGTAATGCTGTAAGATCCCCTCAGAGATTTACAAAGGAATGCATTTCCTTTGCTCCAGGACAACTGTCCCACACATGCCTCAGGCACATGGGTCCTCTGTCCCTCTGTGAGCCTGTATCAGATATGGCTGTTGGAAGCTCAGAACTGTTGCCAGGTCAGTACTTGTACAGACGTTCTTTCAATCAGAAGTCTGTATCCTCAGCAGGTTTGCTGATG